TGATGAAGGTGTGTATATATATATATAGATCACAGAGCATGGCGTTGGTATTGTTCATGCCCGCCGTCGTAGTATTACGCGTAGTGCCAACATCTGCATGGTTCGTGCCTTCCTTATCGTTATGGCTCTTAATAGTTGGTATGCCTATTATGCTTATCAATTGTAAGATGCGTCCTCTGCGCATTTGCACTATAAGTTGCAGTCTCTTTCAAATGTTCATGATTGGTAATGTTGTTCCTCTGAATCCGCCTCCTTTTCCTCCTCCTCCCGCCCCTCCCCCTCCCACTCCTCCTGAACATCCTCCTCCTCCGCCTCGTTCTCCCCTGCTATCCTCGTAAACCTCTTTATCATCGTTCTCGTGGTTTCATCTTTCGCCTATGTCGCCGAGTTCACCTTGGTCTCCTGTCTAGAATCGTTATCATCGGTATCCTCTTCCTCCTCCTCTGTTTCCTCATGGTTCTCCTCTGTCGCCCATGGTTCCCCTGTCGCCTCCTCCTCCTCCTGTCCTCTATTTGTCCTTGTTCTCCTCCTCCGTCTCTTCCTCCTCCTCCTCCTCCTCCTCCTTTTTCTCCTCATCCTCTTCCTCCTCCTCCTCCTCCTCCTCCTCTCCCTCCTCATCCTCCTTTTCCTGTTCCTATTCTCATCCTCATCCTGCTTCTTTACCTCCGTCTCATCCTCCTCATCTTCCTCCTCATCATCATCCTCCTTATCCTCCTCCTCCTCCTCCTCCTCATCATCATCATCATCATCATGTTCCTGCTCCAATTCCTACTCCTGTTCGTGCAGTTGCTCGTCCTCCTCCTCCTCCTGCTCCTTCTGATCCTCCTGCTCTTCCTGCTCCTCCTCCTCCTCATCCTCCTCCTCCCCCTCCTCCTGCTGCTACTCCTGCTGCTGCTCCTGCTGCTCCTGCTGCTCCTGCTGCTCGTCCTGCTGCTCGTCCTGCTGCTCATCCTGCTGCTCATCCTGCTGCTCATTCTGCTGCTCCTCATGCTGCTCCTCCTCCTCCTCCTCCTCCTCCTCCTCCTCCTCCCCCTCTTCTTCCGCCTCGCCTCGTCTTATTATTCTTATTATTCTTCTCCTTCTGCTTCTTCTCCTTCTTCTTCGTCTTCCTCCTCCTGCTTTTCCCCCGCCTTTTCCTCCTCCTCCTCCTCCTCCTTCACCTCCTCCGCCTGTTCCTCCTCATGCTCCTGCTCCTGCTCCTGTTCCTGCTCCTGCTCCTCCTCCTCCTCCTCCTCCTCTCCTCCTCCTCCTCCTCCCCTTCCCCTCCCTCCTTCTCCTGCTCCTCGTTTTCTTTCCCTCTTTTCCTCCTCCTCCTCCTCCTCCTCCTCCTCCTCCTCTTCATCTTCCTCCTCCTCCTCCTCCTCCTCCACCTCCTTCTCCTCCTCCTCCCAAGTCCTCCTCCTCTCCTCCTCCTCCTTCTCCTCCTCCGCCTCCTCCTCCTCGGCTAGTTTAAGCGTGTCAGCGGCCTGGGGCCCATATGCACAAGGCCTGCAATGACTCCTTGAATGGCTGGCGGCCACGGAATATAGAAATCCAGCCAGCGATCGCCCAAAACGGCTTCACTGCGGGACCGGCGCGGCGGCAGCCTCGCGCGCTTGCGCAGTCAGAGCCACGGCAGCGACAAAGGCGACAGCGGCGAGGCTTGGAAGCCCTGGGAGCTCTGTGGGGGAGGAGGCATTCGTCATCGCTCGGACATCCATTTGCTGTGCATGCTGCGGTTTCGTGCGTTGACTTCGTTGCTCGATGATACAGGAGGCTCCTCGATGGCCCACGCTGCGGAAAATGAACACGTCGGAGCGATGCCAAGGAAATGGACGACGTGTCCGTTGTCAGACGAGGAGCGCCCTCGACCTCGCACACGCGAAAGGCCTGCGGCAAAGAGAAACTTTGGCAACCTTTGGCGGCCGTTGGCGTGACCCAGGAGAAAAACAACTACAACAACTGGCCAAAACCGATGCCCGGCCTAGTGCCCAGGCAAGCAGGGAGAAGGAACGGGTCTTACGCGAGATGGCACAAAGACACTACCCCGCATCTTACACGGGCCGCCGGCGCGGCACGACAGTGGTGACGGAGGCGATGATTATAGAAACCAACGCTCCACTGCACGAGAAGGGGGGGAGAGAGAGAGGCGGAGGACAAAGCAGGGAGGGAGGGAGACTACGATGCTGATGCCCCCAAGAGGTCTGGACATCTTCCCCGGGACTGGCTTTTCCACCCGAGCATGTGGTTGACAACCCCGGGGCCTGGTGAGGGCCCCCAGAAGCCGAGAACGACAAAAAGCTGCCCAACATAGCTTGCTCGCCCGATTCTCGTCGTGCCAGAAGCCGTCTACTCTGTTGTGTATGCCGTTTTGCTTGCTCGTCGACGTGCGCCGCCCCCAACGCGCTCCGCTTGCGGCGCCGACGGGGGGCCCTCATCAGGGCGCGCGGACGGCCAGCAGCTGGGTCCCCGCATCGGGCTTGGGCTTGGTCCTCTTCTTGGGGCGCCCCTCGGTCGGGACCTGGGCGGAGGAGGGGGGAGGAGGAGAAGGAGGAGGAGGAGGAGGAGGAGGAGGAGGAGGAGGAGGGGGAGGGGGAGGAGGAGGAGGAGGAGGAGGAGGAGGAGGAGAGGAGGAGGAGAGGAGGAGGAGGAGGAGGGAGGAGGAGGAGGGGAGGAGGGGGGGGAGGAGGAGAGAGGAGGAGGAGGGCTTGGTCCTCTTCTTGGGGCGCCCCTCGGGCGGGGCCTGGGCGGGGAAGGGGGGGGGGGCGGCGAGGAGCTCAGCCTCTCTTGTGGCGTGGGTCGGCTTTTGAGCGCGGGCCTCCCATCAGGAAATCCCACCCGCCCTCTGGGCGTAGCCATCGGTCGGAAGACGCAGGCAGAAACATGAAGCAGAAAGGCGTTGAAAGCAGAAAGGCGTTGAAAGCAGATTGGGTTGAAAGAAGATTGGGAAGCAGAAACATGAAGCAGAAAGGCGTTGAAAGCAGGATGGAGGTGTAGCCACTCGATCACTGAAGTAGGAAGGCGCTTAAAGTAGATTGGAAAATGTGAATCCCTACGCGCCTACTTTCAACGAACGATGAGTCGGTAGTTTCACGAGTTTTGCTTTCTCCCTATGCCAATAGCCCTCCTTCCCCTGCTCGGGGGAGGGGTTCACCCCTCCCCTTGCCCCCTCCCCTGGGCCTGGGAGGGGGGGGCGGGCGACCCATTGGAGCGAACAAGATGGCTCCGGTAGGGCCTCTGAGAGCCCGAGATGGCCTCCAAGATGGCCCAAGATAGCCGAACAAGGTTCAAGGTAGCCTCCGACATACCTCTAAGAGGCCCCAAAACAGCCCCAAGACGGTTCCATGTGCCCTTGGAGCCGTCTTAGGTCCCCTCCAAGAAACCGAAATCCGCCAACCACCGAGGGGAAACACTTGCGAGTTGCCTTCTCGCGCTTTCGCTTGCGATTAGCTTTAAAGCCTCAAGATGCCCCGCGACGGCCCACGAGTGCCCCAAGAGGGGTCCATAAGGGCCCCACGAGGGCCCCAAGAGCGCCTCAAGAGCGCTCCAAGGGCTGCTCAAGAGAGCCCCGAGACGCCATGTTTGAGTCTTCGAGGGGGAAACTGGATTCAACACCTCCCTTCTTTTTGAGCCATGGGGCCCAAAAGGCCTCCCAGACCCCTCCAATGAGTCCCGAGAAGAGTGCACCAAGAAACTCCGGGAGGCCCCAAGAGAGACCCTTAAGCTGGCCTCTGTCGTCCCTCATCGAACTCTCATAACACCCTATGTCCCGAACCTCACTTCTCATCCTCCTTGTCATCATCCGTTATTTCCCTCCCCCTTTCCTGCCGCCTCTTCCTCCTCCTCCTCCTCCTCCTCCTCCTCCTGCTCCTCCTCCTCCTCCTCCCCCTCCTCCTCCTCCTCGTGCGGCAGTCCTCCTCCTCCGCGTCCTCCTCTTCCTCCTCCTCCTCCTCCTCCTCCTCCTCCTCCTCCTCCTCTCCTCCCTCCTCATCCGCATCAGCATCATCATCTCCTGGGTAATCCTCCTCCTCCTCTTCTTCCTCTTCTCCTCTTTCCTCTTCTTCCTCTTTTTCTCTCTTCTTCCTCCCCTCCCCTCCTCCTCCTCCTCCTCCTCCTCCTCCTCCTCCCTCTCCTTCTCCTTTTCCTCCTCCTCCTCCTCCTCCTCCCCTCCTCCTCCTCCTCCCTCCCCTCCTCCTCCCCCCCCTCCTCCTCCTCCTCCTCCTCCCCTCTTCCCTCCCCCTCCTCCCCCCCTCCTCCTCCCTCTCCTGTCTCTCCTCCTCCTCGTCCTTGTCTTCGCCCTCGTCCTCCTCGTCCTCGTTGTCGTGTTCCTCCTCGCCTTCGTTCTCGTCCTCGTCATCCTCCTCCTTTTCCTCCTCCTCTTCCTGTTCCTCCTCCTCCTCCTTTTCCTCCTCCTCCTCCTCCTCCTCCTCGTCCTCCTCCTCCCATGTCCTCCTCCTCTTCCTCCTCGTCCTCGCCCGCGTCTTCCTTGTCTTCGTTGTCGTCCTCATCATCGCCCTCGTCCTCCTCGCCCCCCTCGTCCTCGTCCTCCCCCTCCTCTTCCTTTTCCTACTGTTCCTGCTGTTGCTCCTGCTCCTGCCTCTGCTCCTGCTCCTGCTCCACGTCCTCCTCGACCTCGCCCTCGTCCTCGGCCTCCCCCCCCCGTCATGCTCCTCCTCCTCCTTTTCTTGCTCCTCCTCCTCCGCATCATCATCAGCATCATCAGCATCACCGTAATCACCAACATCCTCGTCATCCATAACAACTGCATCACCATCATCAACATCATCACCACCAACATCATCAACACTACTACTACTACTACTAAATCTTACGCCGAGGCGCGTGGACGCATGCAGTGCCTACCGACGGAAAATGCCCAATCATATTTGCTGTGCGCACCCGTGCGCCCGTCCATCCGGGCGGCCTCCTTCTGCAACATCGTCGTCCATTCATTCCGGGGCCTCCCAACCACGCGGACATATAACTGTACTGTCGGTGTCGAAGTTCCGGGGATGAGCGCTAGGGGTTTCATGGGGTCCGTGTCCGGAGATCTCGCCACCCTCCCATATAACAGAAATTGGTCACGAAGTTGTCGATGAAGTGGTTGACATGATGCCCTCCGTAGAACGGTCTCGATGCCCTGGACACGTACGACGGCTGGATCCTCAGGATGCCCCGCAAGCAACGACAAGAAAATCCATCCGAGCGTCTCGTCTCCGAGGCGTTCATCCAGGCCGAGTTCAGCCCATACAACAACCTGCTGACAATAACAGATACAGAGCACTCGCAGCTTTCGAGAGGTCGATAATGTTGTCCGCTTCCAAAATAGTGACAGCGCAAGAAAATCACGCCACGCGTGGCCGATCTCCCTGGCGATTTCTTGCTTCGCCCGCCCGTCGGCGTGGATGTTGGCTCCCAGGTAATTCATGAGCTCGTCAGTTTGAATGCGTTCGCCGCCAGGTGTCCGCAGCGAGTATTCCTTTCGCACGCCAATCACTTGGAATTTAGACCAGCGCAGCCCCATCCCATATCCAGCACCCGCGCGTACGACTGCGTCGAGTAGCTCTTGAACGTGCCCCTGCTGCGCGCCAGTGATCAGGGTGTCGTCCGCGCATAGCAGAACGTCCAGACCTCCTCCCAGTAATGCTCTCTGTGCGCCTGGCGATAGCGAGCCCGTCGCGTCGTGGATGGCAACTGTCAGGAGCATCGCGAAAAGGAAAGGCGACGAGGGACGCCCCTGCGATATTCCGGACATCTGCGGGCGCAGGCTGGACGCATGGCCGTCGCCGAGTACGCTGAACCTCTGGTCGGCGTAAATGTGGTGAACCATTCTGATGAATTTCGGAGGCAGGCCAAACCGCCGGGGCGCAACCATGAGAGCGTCGACGTTGACGGAATCGAACGCCTTTTGCCAGTCTAGAGCAACCATACCAACTTTGCCGTGTTTGTGAGCACGCGCCAGATCAATGCGTCGCCGAACCACGAAGATTGCGTCGTTCGTGCACCGACCTCTCCGGAAGCCGAACTGCATGCGAGTCAAGCGCCTCTCGGCCCCAGCGGGTTGCAAACGTTTCAAAATGACTGAAGCGAACATCTTGTATGTGACGCACACGAGGCCTATTGGCCTGTAGTTGTCGCAGTTCGACGCGCCCCCTTTTCTGTGCAGACTTACGACGTTGGCAGCGTGCCAACCGTCTGGGGCAGTTTCCTGGATCCAACATTGATTGCACAAGCCGGTGAGCCATTGCAGGCCCTCGTCTGTGCTTGTCACTGCTTGCCAGCACTCGCCAAAAATACCATCATGGCCACGTGCTTTCTGAGTCTTTAAACTTTTCACTGCCTCGGATATCTCCTCGATGGTAACGTCGCCTTCGTCTGCGGGGAGCGGCCCGCCCAGGTCTGGTCCTTCGACGAGTCCTGCCGGCCGCGCGCGCCACTGAATCGTTTCGAAGTGGTCCGCCATCGTCTCTGCCCATCTGTCGCTGTCAACCAGGAGCTCCATAACGATCCATCAGGCGACCGCTTTTCGGCTTCTTCGGCTTCCTGCGTGCCTTGATGGCTCGCCGGCCTCCTGTCTGCAATCGCTGCTCCATCCACTCGGTTTTGTCGAAATTTGCCCGCTTGCGCGCCGCTTTGCGTAGCTCGCGCTGAGACGTTGCATCGCCGTTTTCCCGGGCCAGGCGCTTGATGTCCAGGAGCTGGAGAGTGCCCCCAGAAATCCAAGGTTTGATCGCCCGCCGGGTCTTCGCTGGAAGCGTCTCGGACGCCATTCCCATTGCAAGTCTCGTGATCCCCCACTTTTGCCCCAGAGCGCCGTCAACCGCCGATGCTTCCGCGCGCCCGCGGGGGGCCTCGGCAACGCGATTCTTCGCGCTGCCCCGCCCGAGCGCTGCGACTTTCATCCGTTTCGGCCGGGCCCCTCGCTGAGATTCAATCTCAAAATGAAGAGTAGCCGTCGCCAAGAAATGGTCGGAAGCGAGAGGGGCCGATGGTCTCGAGGACACGGCGCTGACGCGATTCATCACGTCACCGTCGCACAGAAGCAAGTCTAGCCAAGTCTAGCATATGAAAGCCGATCTCGCCCACAACGCCCCCGGCGCAGTGCCCAGGCTGAAAATAAGAAGCCTCGTCCTCGGCAGCCCCCTCGAGGAACGCGTTCGCGACGAGCGCGGCGCTGGCGACGCAAAACTCGACGAGCAACTCCCGGTTGAGAATATCGACTTCGTGCGAAGCCTCTCCGCCGAACGCGCGGGGTCCTATGATGTCTCCCTCGCCCGCCATGCTTCTCCGGAGTCTCGTGTTCGCGTCGCCGAGAATGATTGTTCCAAAATTTGCGGAGCAGCGCTTGTGCTCTGCTGCCAGAATGGCGAAGGAAAGAAAAAACGCCCGCAAGTCCAAATCCTTGAGATTGCGAGGGGCGCGGGCGCATATCACTCCGAACACGCCTCCGCGGACGCGAAGCCTCAAGCAGCATGTTCGGTCTGGCGCCTGCCTGTAAGACTGCATACAAAAAGCAAGCTT